CGAAGACAGCGGATGCGACTCTATAAGCATCAATTTCATTTGGCCAATTCTGAGGCTCTTCTTCATCATCGTCCATAAAGAAATCGGCGCCGCCTTTCTTGACTATAATATTATGCAATACACACATTGCAATAACTAAAGTGGACTGCAATTCAATTGAGAATGAATGCATGTTGGTAAGCATCTCAAATCTTTTTTTAATCACCCCAAAAATCCGTTCAATTGCATTTCTCAAACTCGAATGCCTTAAATTGAATAGCTCCTTGTAGTCTCTGGGCCCAGCGTTTCCTTGGGCCCACTCTCGTAGGTGATATCGAACACCACGGTAAGGGGCTAGAAAGCCCGGCTCATTTGCATAACCTGCATCAACCAGGTAGAATCGGCCTTGAAAAGAAAGAAGAAAAAAAACAATGGTCAGCATGTGAATAAGATCAGATGGAGCGAGAATCTTCCTCACTTACCTGGAGGTACTACGAATCTACCCTGCTGCCGAGCCACCTCCAAGACTCTGGCATCGGCAGCAGATCCCTTGAAACCAGCCAGAACGAAGGTGAACATCAAATTGAATGAACACCCAGCCAGTACGTTCTGGCTCAAGAACCCTTTCCTATTTCGGTAAAGTTCACGTTCGTCGTTTCGAACAACGGCCCCGATGTGGGTGCCATCAATGGCACCTATACAGTGCTCAAACCAAGGATAGCGCTTGGAGTTTGTGGCGATTTCGGGTGGACAAGGAGTTTGGGGACCAGGCTGACGGATAAATCTATCCGAGATGCGCTCTAATGCATGTGCCACGATATGAAAATAGCGGCTCGTAGTTTCTTTCGAATGTTGGAACCTCTCGGAGGTCATTCGATTTGAGGCATGCTTCCCAATTGTATATAAGAACATCATGACCTGTTCTCGTGTATCGATGTGAATCGAAGAGGTGAGATGTTCATCTAGAACATCCATCAGAGCGATGAACGTGGTCTTGTCCATGCGACAGACCTCGTGGAATCGAACCCGGACTACCCCTCAAACACCTCTTTAGCGTACTCGTGACCTCTGAGGCGAGAAGTACAGCAGGGAACGTTTGGGGCTAGCTCCGCGGCGAGGAGTTCTCGAGCTAGAATGATGTGATTCTCAACTTGTTCTCGGAGAGCGTCTTCATTATTATTGGATTCAAATAAATCTTCAGTGCGGATCGTGAGGATGGAATCCAAACTATCAATGGAGGCAGTTGGAGATAAATAATCGGACATGGTTGTTTACCAACCAATGTCCGAATTGGAATCAATTTTGGCATTGAAATACCAAACGATTATCCCTGGAAACCACTCATTACCTCTCATCTCGCGATTACTTGTGAGTTGCAACTTTTACTGCATTTTCAGGTCCAATAATGCAGTGTACTTTTACTGTAGTACACGATAATCTCAGGCAACCAAACGGGCCCTAAATCTTACCATGATTTCCATTGGGACTTCAAATGTTGTCTGACAAAAGATGAGATCAATCTTGATTAGAGGTGTTGTATTCGCTCAAGGAGATTACTTCTCAGTCTTGTTAATCAACCAAAAAGTGAAGGGCCAACAATTTGTGATCGATATGCTTGCTTAATGCTTTTCTCGCTCAATTTTGTGCATTCACAAAATGTTAAGTGGATTGTACATATGATGAGAAAAAAGGAATTGATCATTTTTGAACCCTGAGATGCTGCATCCCTAAGCGTTTGACTATACAAAAGACTGGAAAAAGAAAACAAAACGAGGTCAAGCCAAAGTTTTGTGGTGGAGATGTTTCTGTATAACAGACGATGTTGGTTGAGATTTAAAACTCAAGCAAGAGATTTTTTTTCGGCTGCTTTTAGTGCCGAGAGCGTCTTTTCAAAAGACAAAGTCCATTTGCTGATGTTGATCGACTTCAGAATCTTCTGGACTTTTGGAGAGATAGAGTGATGTACGGGTTGTACAAACTTGAATTCTTCGTCTTTACTTTCTTGAAAGATGTGAGCCACGCGGTTGGGAGAGATATGAACATAATAATATGAATTTTGATGATTTGGGTCCCAGGACACTTCAATTGCAGCATGTTCGTATCTGCCCATCACCACTGAGATAAAGGATAGATTTGATGGACTTGTAGTGGTGTCAACTACACTATGTTTTTGATTGGAGTTCTTGTATATGCCTAAGATTCGGCCAATGTATAAGGTACTATCTTTTATTATGATCACCCACTTATGTCGCTTGAGTGGGTTTCGCTCGCTGAGTCGTCCACTGCTGAGCCATTCATTAGTGTCAACCGGTATCTTTGAGCCAACTGTACGTATGATATCCGCCGCTTGAACCTTTGCGGTCATATTCCAACGTTTGTGACGACGAAGAAGTTCGACTTGTATGCAATTTTCTTGATACAACATCGATAACATCTTGGAACACTGACTCGGTTTCATATCGGTGTCTACAGTGGTGCTATCTACAGTACGTGCTGGGAAATCAGAAGGTTTGTTTTTTGTCCGCTCATTGCCCTGATGACAAGAAACCATGCTGTTGTGTTTGTATCGGAGTTTCACCAGGTTTTCACAGTCCAATGTTGAGCTGGAATTTATCAGTCGAGATCGTATAGATTGATATTTTTTGATCTCAGGATATGTTGATTGAATCCGAGAACTTGGCAATATCGGAAGTTGGAAAGTTGAGTATATCTTCTCTTCAATATCCTGAGAGAGCTGGCCAACAATCGAATTGGCTACTTGATTTTTTGCATGAAGTTCGGCTGCTGTTGCGAGAGCCTCTGCAACTGTGAGTGATGGAGTATTGGTTTCTTGATAATCGTGATCAATGCTGGTGGAGATGTCGTCATATATTGGCTCGGGAACCTGATTCCAGAGTGCTGGGTTCATGTGCTGAGTATGTGCTGTAGAAGACTTCGGATTGTGTGGAATGTTATTTCCAACAAATTCTCGCAAACCATCTGCTTCCAAACGCGCAATCCTTAGAGCACAAGTTATCTCATCATTGGATGGAAACTTGGTTAACAAAGCCCAATTCAGATTTGGGACTTCGTCAGCAAATGAGTACTGGTAGCCTGTTCATGTACAACATATGTGAACAATATGTGAACATCAAATCAGTTACCTTGCACTTTCAAAGGAGCAGAATCAAACAAGTCACTTACCTGAGTGTAAATTGTCAGATTTTGGGACCTTGATTGTACCACTTGTGATACTCTTCACAATGGCAAAAATCTTTGGCATCATCTCACGGGCACCCAAAACTGTAAAGTCGGGTGATATGACTCGCATCCACCCAAAGGTATGCTCACAGGATTCAGTCCCGTGTTTTGAAAGTATCAGGGGATGTTTTGGCCAGTACTCCCGATGTGCAATGATGAGACCGATTAGACTCTCCGCTAGCTGAACAAATATCTTGAAACCTTGATGCGAGATGAAATTGATGTTTGGATTCATCAAGTTATTTGTTTTTTCTCTTTGATGAAGCAGGTACAAGTGCCAGTCGCGTATGAAGAAGACAGCTCTCCAAACACATATAATCCTGTCAAAGTGACCCATGGTGGGATTTAACCAAGCATCAGTCATTTCACCCATCACAAATAAGTATATGGTGAGACCAGTGGTATCCGAAACTGAAGCTATGTTGTTTAGTTTTGAAGCCAGTTTCAAGGTTTTATGATGAAAGGTTCGTAGTGCCCGTCCGTCATCATGAGGATCAACATTCTTGATGTCCTTCAAGCCCAATGGACATTCGTCAAGACTTCGTAACGAGAGTAAATGTTCGATGTTTATGTAATACTTTCCAAAAGCAAGAAGTCGAGCTCCGGAAAGGATCTGGTTAGCTGCTGTCTTGCGGGCATGCTTAGGATCTTGTACGGTGACAATCGGAAGTTTTGATTCGCCAAAAAGTCCTACTTTGACATGTACATTGAGATCATCGTGATTGTACTCTAGATATTGACTACAAGATGTGGTCAGACTTAATTGCGCCGAGAGTTCGCTTGCGGCGCCATCCGATCCTAAGGAGACAATTGGAAGACCTGCTAGATCTAAGAGCTCGATGAATTTCAGGTGTTGGGCCAGGATATCCGTGCTATTCTCTTTACTTTTGCTTGCAATCAGAGCAACTATAAATGAGGGCATATTTGGTAATGGTACCTGGACCGTATAGCAGCGTATCTAGATATAATATCAATGAAGAAAATCAGATTGAGGTAGGATTGTATCTCAAAGAACAAATTTAACACTAACCTTATCACACAGAGTCCCATGCGAAATTATCTCCTTCACTACATTCTCCAAGTCGGCAGTGTTTGAAAATTTGATATCACCTCCTTGAGCACCTACAACTGACCCATTGTGTTGTCTAAGAGCTTTTAGACAAACAGTTTGATCAGTCCCTGCAACTAATGGACCGCTGTAACCAAGATTGTCAACCCATTTCTTGACGGGAATCATGTTTTCCAATTGTAACCCATCAAGCAACTGAGATCCTGAAGTCCTACGTTCTTCTCGCTGGCTTCGGAGTGATCTACCAGCAAAATTATCCCTGAACAAAGATACTACTCTACTACTATATGCACCAGCAGTAATTAACCAGTTATCCAGCTCTGATCGATAGACAATTCCAGTCAAACTATGCCCATGAGAGAGACGCTCGGCTTTGATACTCATAGCCTCAACGAGTGCTTTGAATACGGTGTGATCATCAAATAAGCCTTGTTTTGCTTTTTCGGCGATAATATCCCAGAGCTTTGGGCTACCTGCTTTTGCCGCCTGTTCAACTGATTCGCTAGCTAGCTTTTCGCCTTGAATCTTGGCACGAGTTACTTGGAACTGATCTTCAGACATTTTAGTATTTGATATATATTTCATTGTTTCCTCATCTGCATACTGGTGATTAATAGCTGAATTTAAACTAGATACATTTTTGATGGCTAGACATTCATCACAAGTAATTAGGACATCTTTTATTAATGTTTGAATCATACCATGACATTTTGTTGAGTGGATTGATCGATTTCTTCCTTCTCGATTGATATACCAGACTGATTGTGCTTGCAGAGTCCGGTGTAACTGATTTTTTTGATCTTCAGACAGGAGTAGTTCACTTCGAGTCCCAAAAAGTTGATCACAAACTTCATGCCGGGGAGGATGACCGTGATATGTGCTTGGTGAATGCTGTATACAGACAGAGAGGGGTTGTAAAGATCGAGATTGAACCCAAGTTTCATCGCTCAAACCTGCACATGCGACTTCATAGATTGGTTGTTGTTGATTCGGGGTGTTGTTTTCTTGAATCAGTCTATCACTCAAACGGATTCGCTCGGTATCAAGTATACACAGCCCTAAAACATCCAATTCAAATCAAACACATCAATTGTTGACCTTCATCGCGCATCATGTCCATAATACATCATTTGTGTTACACACCCTGTTTCCAATGCTGTTTGGCTGTTTGTAATGTTGCCACTTTCAGTTTTCTTCCGCAATGACATAGTAGCAGCTTTTGAGAATCTTCGATTTTGAATTGACATCGAGTGCAGCTTTGATTATCGTCCATTTTCAAAGGGCAGTTTGAGATGATTTGAGCCTTGAGACGCTCGATTGCTCTAGATTCTCTCGATAGGTTGAAGTTCATTGCATCTGAATTTCCTCTTGACTTGCGAGCGATGGATCGTTCTTCATTGAATAAATACAATCAAGTTGACCAATCAAACAAAGTGTACCGTGGTAATACCCGGGGCTGGCTGAGTCACGGACTCTCAGTATGTAACCCATAAAAATAAAATAATTTACATTGTATGCCTCCATAAGAGCTCTCCGGGGTCCTTTTGCACCCTATTCTGATTAGGTTTCAGAGCCCCGAGGCCGGGACCGCCAGCGTTGAAAATATCGCCGGGCACCTTCGGCCGGGCAGGGCCGGGACCGGGTCACAGCCCTACATAAGACCACCTAAGATACCTCAGATGAATTTTGTAAAAGCACCAAATTACCAATGTTGCATCACAAATTTAACGTGCTCATGAGGGGCTTAGTTAAGCTTAGTTAT